GTTTTGTTTTGTTTTGTTTTGTTTTCGCGGTCTGCTTTGCTTTGAACCCGCGGAGGCGTATCTCAATGCTTTCTAAACTTTGATTACGATCAACCAAATCATAGCTAGATAGAGCAGTGTATCTCTAGTTTGTCTATAAGGTTATTCTTGAGTATGGACTCAATCTAAGCGTCTATTGATGCAGCGAGTAAGATTTATTAGATCCTACACTTACTAGACAAAGCAGGGCTTTAGACCCACTGGAAGTCAAACAAATATATGCCAAAACAAAAAATATTTGCTATCGGGTGAAATCTTAAGAGTTGGTGTGAGAATATTTCAATTAATGTCAACAGCTCGACAGACAGATTCATGTTCATTAGTTACATTTTAATAGTTAAGAATACGCATTTTTGAATAAAAGTGGAGTTAAAAAACCTTATAGCAATGACATAATCGGTACGACATGTCTAGATGATTTGTAGACAAAAGAAATTCGGTTTAAAAAGCATTACTATAGAACATTGTCTTTCTAGTTTTAAGTGACAAAAATGCCCTGCACGCTTGGAACTTCTGCTAAAATTAACTAAGAAATTCCCTGATTTTTTTTTGAGTTGTCCATCACTAGAGGGCTCTCTGAAAAAAATATCAGGGAAGATATCCCATATTTTTTGAAGTTCATGTAAGTGTGGGTGGGTGAGTAGCTTTTAAAATAGTGTACCTGGTTCTCACTTCTCACTGGCGACAAAAGCCGATCGACGCAAGCATAAGCACAAGCACAAGCCAAATCAAGGAAGACTAAAACAAAAAGGTGAGAACCAGGTTTTAACGAACGAGAAATTGGACTAAAAAGATTAGAAAGAAAAACTATTTTAGTCAGTAAGGAAACATCTCAGCTGGTTAGAAAAAAATGAAGAAAAAACTTTAAGTCGAAGATAAGGAAGAAAAAAACTGGTCAATGCGTGTCAAAACAGTGAATCGTGACCAAAAACGAGAGAAAAACTTAAAATCTACTTTATATTTCATATTACGATACTCAAAAGATACTTTTCGTAAAGTACATCAAATTTAAAAGCAGGCAAGCTGAAGCAAAGAATGACGCATTTTGAAGTACTTCACGTGTCCGAAATGAAATATTTGAGTTTGAAATGTTTAAACATCAAGGAATCTAAGTCGTTAGTCAGTCCCATAAAATTAATGCTCGTTGATTTACAGCTCGCTAGAGTATTCGATTCCTTCATTTACGTTTCTAAATGCAAGTGTTTCTTAATCTTCCTTGATGGATTTTCATAATCCAACATAATAAGGCAATCAACCACTACAATAAATCCTTGAAGTTTGTCTTTTTGGTCTGATTGATCGTTCAGTAAGAATAGCAGAAGGTAATAGAGATTCAAAATCATCGGTTCAAACATCAGGACAAGACTGAACGCGCAAGAAGACTAAGTTAAATTTCAAAGACACTTAAAGTTTTTTTAAAACGATTCAAAAGATATCTGACTGTGTCATTGAACACCTATTTTAATAGCTTGTGAACGTAACTTTTTATCGCTAATTGTTTTTTAAATGTTTATTTTAATTTCCTTATAGAAATATCTTGTATTTAAATCTATAAAGTTGTCGGAGCTAAAGAAATTATGGGTACATAACTCAAACCAAAAATAATCGAGGCCTTAATACGGTTTCGTCGACTACAACTCAGAACAACATTGAATATATCAACTATAAGCTCCGTGTTCTTGACAAGAATAAGAACTAGAAACACAAGTCCTTCCAACTATTCTTGGATCTTAGAATGACTTATCATTGCCTCCGACAACCATTTTTGAAATAGGTATCTCTATATAAGAGAAAATGAACTCTAGTTCCGCATTTTCTCTTGGTATGTATATTTGATATGTTATCAATCTGCCATACGCTTTTTCATCACCAATGACAGGGTACAGGATCTTCTTTTAAAACGATTAACCCTTTCGTCTTGTTCTTTCTGCAATATATTTTGGATTTTTTTTTTTTTTTTTTTTTTTTTTAAAAATAAAAATCTCTGGTAACGACCACGTGGTGAATAGGATTGCTGGACAGCAGTTATTACAAACGCGATGTGGCAAGGCCTTTGACCTCTCCCAAAATCGGTCGAGTGCCACAATCCCATGTACCACTTGGTCGTTATTTTTGTCGTCTCTTTTGAATTTAGAGAAGCCAAAGAGTAAGTGTAGGTTGCCAAGCTATGGGATCTGTCCAAGATAACCATGTTAACTAGTAGTGGTCACGTGTCTGCCCAAAACTTTATAGTCATTGATTGGCAAATTGACAAACAAGCTGGAAAAAGCTGTTCTGCGCATGTACCGAAAATCGGCGCGAAAAATAGAGGATATGGAAAGTAAAAATAAAACGTAATCTTTACTATAGAAAAACCGTGTTAACCTAAGACGCAAGAGTTTACTTTTATAATTTGCTGCATGGAAGTTATTTATCCATCCCAATACTTATTTTTACTCCAGGGTAGTGCAAGTGGAAGAGATTTCTTAACGATTATTTATTTTGTGTTCTTAGATAACACTATAATTGAACTGTCTGTTTCCTGACGAGGTTGATAACTGATATTATTCCTCGTACCTAAAAATCAGCCTATTCAAAATTGTTGAAAAAAGATAAATAATTAACTCTGTTCAATAACTTAGTACGTTTTTCTTTTCGAAGGGCTACACCTGATTTCTGAGGAGGGAGGGAAGGGAGTAATATACTAATGAATTCTCAAAATTACCGTACGGGTCATTGCGTGAGCCTGTGCTAACTTTTAACGCGGGAACTTGCTATCCTCTAATCCCTTTGCCACCAGTTCGCGGCCATTTTACTTCAAAACAACATGTTTGTTTCAATTCTTTTGTTTATGGTAAATTCTATAAGCCTTTCTATGGTCACAGAAGTAGAATTTGTACGTACAGTTACTGAATGCAGTCAGTCTTCTCAAATAGGTATTCAAGTAAATGGAACGAAAACATAAAGAAGCTCGGAGCGTGTTTTTAAGAATTGGTAAAAGAAAAATGTGTTGATCAAGTTAGCAGGTACTGACAGATGTACAAAAACGAGTAGTTTCATAGCAAAAATATCTAAAAACAGTCATTCTCTGCCTCCATCATTTTCACTATCAGAGTCTGAACAGATTGGGGAATAATGGTGGTGTGTGCTTCTAGTTCGCCACCTCTCACCAAAGCGAACCGCGGGTTCAAGCCATGCCGGGCTCGGTGTCGTATGTGAGTAAAGTTGTTTGCTGGTTCTCTCCTGTGCTTCGAGGGTTTTTTCTCCGGGTTCTCCGGTTTTCCTCCCTCCACAAAAATCAACTTCTAAATTCTAATTCGATCTATCGGCTACCTTATCAACCATGCTGCAAAACCTGTAACGCACCCAATAGTGATAAAATGCATTAGAACACCGACAAGTCACACTAAACTACAAATCTCGACATTCCTTCATACTCATTTGGTGACTGAAAAAAAAAGAGCAGTTTAAAAAAAACTACTGTTACAAAAGTTTAAAGTTTTGAAAGGTTAAAGTTGTGGATAGTAAATATATAGTATGGTTGCTCTATATGTCTGATTCAATCGGATTAGTATAGTGATAAATAGACCTTCAGTCTTAAGGTACAAAAGATGGGGTGTCTAACAGCAATATCATTCAAGATAAATAGGCGTCGCTTCTTAATCAAATGATCCAACTAACTGACTATACAAATTTGAGCTTTTGATATAAGAATCTAGTGATTTTTATAAGATAAAGGGCACAGTTTAGAATATAATACTATACATGGAATATTACATATATATCATGCTATTAACATGTGAAGGATTTCAGCCGTAACGATACCACAGCGGTAGCCAGGGACACCAATAGTGAAAGGCTAATGATGTTTTTAGGCGCTAAGCCACGCTTGCCACAACTAACAGAATGATAGAGTCATTAGATGATATTTTGATATTTTACCGTGATGTTTTACTGTGTCATGTTGAACCCTGACTCGCATTTCCAGATATGAAGTTGGTTTGTCACTAGCTAAGAAGCTTGAAATATTACGATAATATTAAACAAAAATGCCGAAACATGAAAAGAAATTTAAACCACGAGAGAAAAAGAAAGTCCTTAGATGTGAAACTTTGAAAATTGTCCTTAGTTTGTCCTTTTTTTAATTTTATTCTTATTTTTTTGGTCATGCATTTACGTTATGGTGGACGAGTCTATTCACGAAAGCGTTGACGGAAAGACAAAGCCGTCTCTTCACGACAAACACATTTCTTTCTATACCTAAGTCCTTCATCCGGCACACCCTCTATATGACGTTAGTTTCGGGAGATTATAAACCCATGTTTTAACTATCGTTAACATCGACTGTATCGTTAACATTGAACATATAACTTATTCTTTCGAGAAACCATGACCACAGGTCATACCACATGTTATGTGTTTACGCTCTTGAAATAAAGCCTATTATTATTATCATTACCATCACTTCTTGATAACAATTGTTTGTGGGATATTGCCGCCTAGCTGCCCGGCCTCTTTAGTTTAATTCGTTGTTATTTGCATAAAAGTTTGAACTTTTTCCAATTTCTTTATCGGTTCATAGATTCTGTAGGAATAGCGTAGATCCATCCGTAAAGGACACAAGGCCGAATCTACATCATTGGATTCTTAGTCATGGTATGTATATATTTATTTTTCGTTGAATTCTAACACATCAGACTGTCCTCTTAAATGTTATATTCTTGATATTCTGAATGCCGTATTCAATATATCACATAATTGAATTCAAGTTTATTGTATGGTGGTGTCCACTTTCTAACCGAAGTCAACCATGTTGTGTTGTGTTTAATTTCGTTTTTATTTTAAAGTTTCGTTGAGTTTGAAATAAATAATTCAAGCTTTAGGATTTTTTAAAGCCAACCACCAGTGAACCAAAACTACAATTCAAAATTAAGAGTTTAAATTATAGGTGTATATTGTTGACTGTCAAAAGATTTCGTCATGCTTAAGCACGCACTAGTTTAACCTGGAAAAAGATGAGAAAAAATAATTGGTATCCTTCGCTTACCACTGTTTGAATTTCTATCAAGACTACATACAAAAATGTGTGTAAAGTGAAAAAATTAGCTGCTCTTAAAGCGATAATGCCTGGTTCATCAAGACCCATGTTGCCTAATCCCCATGGAACAGTTCTTTTCAAATATTTCTATAAAAACTACCTTGAACGCATTAGTTTTCGTATATCAACACTCAAGAAAAGAATATATTATATTTGGGATTCAATTTTTGAGCGATAAGAGAGATAGAGAGATACTTACGATAAATCTAAGGAACACTGTGGTCTTGATTTATTCCCCTTGGTCGCGTTAAGTCAGCTCTTTTTTTACCATAACTTATTGGCTTAATCGACACCTTTATTTAACTCGATCGACTATATGCGTATCATTAACAAAAGCCAGTGTTATTATTATTACTAAGGATATGAAAAAACGCTAACAAACGCTTAACGAAACAAAAAATCCGCTGGTTTAAGATAATATATTTTTTCAGTTTATTCGTGCTACCATGTTGAAAACTTAGCAACTTCTATTTGTTGTTTCGCGTGCTGGTTTTGTTTTTTTACTCATTTATTCAGCCGACGTCATTCTTCCAATTTTTCCACGACTTGAGCTTTCCGTTCACTCACTAATTTAATGACTACATTTTTCAATCTCTTATACAAATGACCCAACTAATATAAGGTTTTACCGGTCAATTTTCTGCTTTTTAGACGATATATTTTGATCTTCGCTATTGGCATAAGGTACTAAATAAGTAACACTACGCTGTTAAACGTCCGCTATCGACATAAACATTTTAAGCAAAAATCAACAGGAAAGTAAGTCGCTTTTGTCTCTTCCTCCGACAACTGTTGTCCGAGCACTTATCAACCTCGATTGTTTGTGTGTGTATATATATATATATATATATATATATATATATAACTAATTCATTAGCATTATAGTACGGAAGGAGATAGTGTTAATACTATGTGCAGCTTCGTAGTCTAGCACTACAAGATGGTAGTTCAACCCATGCATGAAAAGTATCGTCGATAATTTATGATATTGGTTTCAGGTAGTTTTGTTTTACATCTAATTTAGTTAGCAATATTCATGCTATAGATAAATTCTTTGTATGTATGTATCTCGATCTTGCCAGCACTAGTTACAAAAAAGTAGGGTACCCTATCTGAAGGTGTTTAGAATAGCCAACTTAACCACACTATTTAACACCCGACCGACCGGTCGATCTTCGTTACTACCGAACCGATTAGTGCTTATGTAGAGTACCAACCCGCCGCTGCATCAAACCTGCATCAAAAATTAGCAAGATCAGCAAGACGTTCCTTTTAAACACACACACACAATCTAGCATAATGTTTTAACGCTGCCCTATATATTTTAGATACACCAAAAACATGTGTATCGGAGAACAGGGTAGCGTGTAACATCGTGCAAGACGTAGCCCGGAACGAAGATCAAAGGAGATTGAACTACAGAAATCTTCTTTAACTCCCAACGCGTCGACCAATTGAGACCAACTTAACCTCACACTTGCTCCTAACATAAACAAAACGGATTATAAAACATTCGGATGTGCTTTTATTCCGGTTAAAACGACAATTTAAGCACACCGCTTTATAGGCAACGAATTGCCACCGCGTGAAACACTCACGAACGGCATGGGGGCCCACGACGGTGATTGTCTAAAATGCAATCTTAAACCATTAGCAAGGTTATTTCGATCGGCAATTTTACTGGTTCATTAGCATTATGCTTAAACTAGACTGACACAGCGGTATGAAATAAAAATTCCAAATTACCTGAATGAAAAAGATTTTTTTGTAAAAGAAGATCATATTGAAGCAGGGCTTGGAACACACGAACTAATACAATAAAGGTGTTGTAATTTTCGCGAACCAAAATGTCTTACAAAACTTGCCTCCCTTGGCTTGTTTTGGAGATTTAGAAATCGTTTTAGCTGTTAAGCGGGACGTTAGAGCTGATATATATTGATGCTATCTTTAACTCTTAACATAAACAATAAGCAAAGGAAAAATGTTTGACGGGAAATAAGTTGTCGTGTACGTTTTTTGCACATCCGAGGCAAAGTTAGCTCCGTCACAACCCAAACAAATCAAGTCACTTATCAGAGAGGTCTTGCTAAGATATTATCGAGGAACCGTAGATATATATTTCAGTGTTATAGCTCCATCTAGAGGTGTTAAGAACTATCTTGGACAACTAAGCGGTAAAACTACTGGCAGCCAAATCGTATAAACAGGTACATCTTTTTTATCGTTCTAGATTTGCTCTTAGTTGTAGCCGACTTTTCTCGCCTTATTTCCTTGATTTCTCTATTTCTCGATTCTTTTTTTTCTTCTTCTTCTTATATATATATATATATATGCTTTCGTTTCTTCTTTCCTTGCTCGCTTTTTCTTTCTTTCTTTCTTTCTTTCTTTCTTTCATTCATCCATTCATTCTTTTTTCTTTCTTTCAAATGAATTATTTTCTTTTATTATTGTAGTTATAAACGAACATTGCCATCAAAGCAATCCAGTCTAATGTCCAGTACAAACCAGTTCTTTTTTGTTTTTTCGAATCCTGTTTAACGGGCCTATCGTAAGATGAGATTTACAATAGCTGATATAATATAATCAGATTAGATCAAAAAAGCAAATATTTCATTGAAGTTGATTTATCAGATATAGGGATTTAGAGTTAAGTTTCAAAGCTTATAAGTAAATTCTTTTATGATTAGATTCGCTATTTTTAATCATTTTTTTAAAGAACCGGTAACAAAGTTAGGAAGTGTCGAGCCTCAAATAAAATAAAATAGACCGAACAGCAAAGTTGCTTTCAAAACCGCCAGACCAACCAAAGTTACGTACCATGTGCTTTTTTTTTCTTTCTTTCTTTTACTTTAAAAGTTATCCTGCAATTGTGTGTATTCGAATTCTTACCCATTCCTCTTTTACTCCGACGAAGGACTAGCGTCCGAAACGTCAGTAAGTTTTTTCATCTTTTCACGGTGTATAATTTACCTTTTCATCATTACTGTTTCATTAGAAACACCGACGCAGCTCACACTAGTTTTTAGCTAGTTATATCTCATTATCGTAAGAGTAATCTACTGTAAACTGCAACCTACTGCTCTAGCCCCTATGGTTATTTCAGGCTGTCAGTACCCCTTTTATTCGTAAATTATTATAGTCTTAACGTAAATAAACTATTGAATGATTATCTTATTAAATACTGTATGAGAAATAGAGCATTGACCAAGGTCAGTGAAATTTAAACAAGAGTAAACAAACGTTTCCTGTGATTTCTACAAATCGCGAAAGTTATGTTCGTGTTGGTTACAAGCCAGGGTGTTGGTGTGGGCGTGGTTTTGGGTATCTCGTCATAATGGTCGCACACGAAAACTCTAGCTGCAATATTCAGCATTCATAGACAACCTTTTTTTCAAATCTGTCTTTCGTTACTCTTAGACTGGCTTCGCCTTTCTTTGGTATATGGATCATGACAGGCCGTGACCGTACTTTGCACGCCCGCCATGACGAAAATATGAACTTATAAAATGACCTATCAAAACATATCGATCAGAAATTTAAAGAAATATTACTAATCGATTCAAGAATGTCAACATTTGGAATTTTTCCGTTTAAAAAAATATATAAACAAGGACTTTAAGAGATTGCAATATATTAACATTTGAAAACATGACACCTGGAAAAGGGTTTTCCGACATGTTAATGGTAGATAATGCATATTCGTGTTTGGTTCGTGCTAGAAGGCTTTTACAGTACTGAGCTCGCGTCAAAATATCTAGACGCCGTAGTGAACGTTTTTTTGAGTAATTGAGCGCTCATGCTCAAGTTTTTAGAATTTATCGTTGATATTTATCGAGATAACTTTGAAGGCAATTAATAATCTTCAAAATTGAGAAAATACATTTGGAAGTTGTCTGCTAATTTAAAAATCGCTCAAAATATTACTATTATTTTTTTTCAAAATTGAGTTAACCAAGTTTGTTTTGGAGTTCAAAAAGTAAGAAAAATATTAGTGCGAAGGCGGAAGAATTCTATCAGCTTGCTTACTGTGCTCGAGAAAATACTTAAATATCTAACGTGCATTTGCCATGCTTCCATCCAATAAAACAATATAGATAAACATAAATTAATAACATCGGCATAACTCCGTCCCTAAATTTTCTAAAAAAATTGAATTACTTCAAGTTTTAAAGAATTGGCTTTCAAGAAATATAGTAATGAAAAAATAGAACAAAAATATTTTCAGCTGGAAATTCCTAATTCCGGTTATAAGGTGTAAGAATCTTATCTCATCTTTTTTTGTTTGCAAGTATATAGGTAATGTTTGTTGAACTCCTTTTTTGCCTTTTAATTCTTTTCAATATCATTACGTTTCGCCTTAAGTAGGAGAAACTATATAGCGCTTGCAGAGGTGTACTTGCAGACCAACTGAATCCAACATCAGGCATTTGAGACGCATTAGTGTCCTCGCGATTGTTTCTAAGTATAGTTCGCCGGTTTTTCTAGTTTTAAGGTCAGTGTTGGACTTGAGTTCGAAGTATATTTATATTCCATAAAATTTTCTTTTGCCCAGATCGAC